TGATTAATATATATAATATTGTTTTATAGCTAATTTTATTCATATTAAATATTATTTTATATTTATAAATATTTATTAATAATATATAATTATAGTAATGTATAAATGAATTGTTTCTATTTTCTGCATATTATAAATAATAGGAATGCCCATAAAATATCAACTATTTATCAGCACTCAACACTAGAAAATAATAAGTATCCCTGTAAGTTATCAACTATTTTCAAGCTCTAAATGCTTGAAAATAATAAGTAATGGCAACTTAAAAAACATTATTGGTTTGTCATTACTCATTATTTTTCAACCCTCAACACTAGAAAGTATTAATAACTTTTTTCCAACACGCTTTTTTTATTAAAAAATAATTATTTAGCATGCATATTTTTTTCATCAATATTTTTTAAGACACAATGCTAAAAAAAGAAGTATTTTGCGCCACATTTTAATTATTCTTCAGCGTAAAATACACTAGAAAATGACTTTTTTTTAGTAGTGTATATCCAGCCTTTCTTTGATCCACCGAAAAAATTTTAAAAAAAAAAATGTTGCTTAGATGAGATTAAATAGTCTTTCCACATTTACTGACTCGTTATTGAACATTTTTCTCTTCTTATTTCCTAGCTAGTCATATGGTCCTTGTTACATCAAACCATATAACATCGATTCAATCAATTCGTTACATTTCTTGACTGAACAGTCCCTCATGTTGGACCAAAGCGTGCATCTGAACGTGATTGCGCAAGGGCGCCAACTAAATCCCACCGTCTACAACATCTTGTCCGTAGATTACTAGCTACTGAACGGTAGAGATTAACCCTTAATTAATGATGATGTACCATGACAATCAAAACATGAAAAGCAGGTCCTTTTGATTTTATGGCCACAAACAAAATCATTTTTTGTTCAAATATATTAAATTTAAGGACAAATTATATGAACGGTCACTCACCTATATCACAACTCTCAATTTATTTACTCTCTTTTTATATTTGTAAATTTAATCATTAAACTTTCATTTTATTTGCTATTGTTTATCACTAACTGTAGTCACTTCCCAAATTCGGTTAAATTTACTGATGATGTGGCGTGAACCAAGAAAAAAGAGTTGACATGTCACCTACGTGGAAAGCAAATATAAGGCCAAATAATTTTTAGGCAGCCCAAAAAGAAATTTAAAATACAGACCCTAGCTAAAAAGCATAAGCTAGGCCTAATATGTGTCATTTATTTGCTCATCTTTTAATAGATTACTTCCTCTAGTTAATTTAGTTTCTAATTTGAAATATTTATATTTAAACTCTATTTGGCATGATTGTAATTTTAAATTTTTTTTATTTTAGGTATCATAAATTTTGTAATTGTAAACAAAAAATTTGATTATTTTCACTTATTTTTGCAAATTATTATTACTATTAGAGAAATAAGAATAAAAATAATTTTAATACTATTAATAAGTTTGTATTTTTTGTTATTTTTAAAAATTTACTAATTTTTTTTAATTTTAATTTTCAATAGTTACAAAATTTATGAAAATCACAACAAAAAATTCAAAATCACAACCTTACTAAATGGAGACTTGGTTATCTAATTTTTTTTTTAAGATATCATTTAATGTATTTATTTTTATTTTACTTTTATTTTAAAAAAATAATTATGATATATATTAAATAAAAAGTCACTTGAACGACTCAAAGATATGTTCTCTTCCGTAGGCGTTAAACGGGGGGATGAGAAACTATATGGTTTGCAGTCACTTGGACACTGTGGCTTGCTACGAATGCTGTATTATTTCGAAACACAACTTTGGATGAGGGGAGGCTCTTGAACCTAATTCAAGCTCTATCTGATCAATGGCTTCGGGGCGCCAGAGAATATAAAGGAATTTCATTTACTGACTGGCTTCAGGAACCAATTCAAAGTATGACGTCTGCAGAAACCAAAAGAGGGAAGCATGCATTACAAGGAAACGGTTTTCTGTGATTGTAAAATTATTCATAAAAATTAAAATTTTTTGTCACAAATTATATTTGTATCTAAAATTTGATTGATCATTATCCGTTACAAATATTGAGTCACTAAAATTAATAATAATTAATTTTGCATTTGTGACAAAAATCATGATTTTAGTTATGGTAAACAATGATGATTATTTGTGACAAAATAATTAGACACTAAAATAACCTCATTTGTAACTTTTATAACTGATCATAAAAGAAATTTATTTGTGACATAAAATTTGATCACTAATATTGAATCATATGTCATGTTTCCTTTTAATCACAACTAGAATTATCCGTGACCAAAAAAAATGAAACAAATGGCACCATGTTAGTCACAATTAGGATTATTTGTGACAAAAAAAAAAAAAAAAACTTGTTACAATTGTTATTATCAATGACAAAACAAAAAGGTCACAAATTGAATGTGTAACAGAATTTTTAGTCTTAAAAAAAATTCCAAAAAATAAAAGAAGAGCATTTTTGAGAATTCAATAAACACCAGTATCCAATGATTTCGTTACTAAAATAACAAGTGTAAAATGGTCTTTTACAAAATTAGTCACTAGAAATTAAGTATAATAATTGAATAAAAAAGAAATTTTGAATTAAAGAATAATTTATTAAATAATTCCAATTAAAATTGCTTTTAAAATAATTAAAAATATAAAATTATATCCATAAATTTAAACACCTTGAATTTTAAAATTTTTGGAATTCAATTATAAAATAATTATTAAATAAAAATTTATTCAAAATAAAATTATTATTAAATAAAATTAATAATAACTAAGTTTTGTTTGCTCCAACTAAAATAAATCTAAAAAAAAAAAAAGAAATAACAAAATAAACCCTAAATGAAAATGAGACCAATATCATTTTGACCCTTGCATCACAAAAACTACAATCTGTTAGAGTTGTGATTCAGATAGTTTAATCCAAGGAAAAGAGATGAGAGAGAGAGGTAGAGAGAGAGAGAGAGAGGAGTAGGAGGCAGACGACGAGCACGGGCAACATGAACAACATAGAATTGAGAGTATGCAAGATCCAGAGGAAGAAGCCAACAGAGAGGTCATGAGCCAGCAAACCAGAGGCAGTGGGAACAAGGGGTACAGAGGAACCAGAGGATGCAAAAACTGGGATTATATGATAAGGGCTTGTACAAACAAGCCATTCCTTATTTCTTCACCAACTTCCCTGAAGAATGGAGCTACGCAGACATGTGGAGAACCTTCTTAAAGTTTGGAAGGGTCTACGATATCTATAGTCCAAACAGAAAAAGTAGAAGTGGAGGCAGGTTTGGATTTGTAAGATTCCTCAATGTCAAGGACAAAAGGGAGCTGGAGAGACAGCTTGATCAGATATGGGTAGGAGATCAGAAGCTATGGGTTAATATTCCAAGATATGATGATGAGAAGAAGGAAGAAAATAAGGGGAGAAATGGACAAACAATGGCACCAAAATTTCAGAGCAGGAGCTATGCCAAGGTACTGTAAGGATAGGGAGCTAGAACAAAGGAGGAGGTGAGCAAGGAGGAATCCAAAGTAGATCAGACGAGAAGGCATGGATGAGGTGAGATCAGAAACAGTGAGGGTAACGGTATTATTGAAAGCAGAAAAATATGGAAAGAAAAAGGAAAGGGAGCAAGTTGGGCTGGAATAGAATACAGCATTAAAGAAGACGAATATGCATGGTTAGAAGGCTATTATGTGGGGACGGCACATTCAATAGAAATGGTTAGAAATTTGCAGGAGAAGTTTTACATGGAGGGGTATTTCTCGTGTAGAGTCCGAGCAATGAGGGGTAAACTGGTTTTGCTGGACTGTGAGGATAAAGAATAGTTAAAGGACTTAGTTGAAATGGTTGCAGATTGGCTTGGACAATGGTTTGAAGAAGTTCAACCTTGGAAACCAAACTTGGTAGCTCAAGAAAGGTTTGTCTGGATTAGGTGTCAAGGGGCACCTTTAAATGCTTGGGGGTGTGAATTCTTTGAAAAAATGGGCAGCTCTTGGGGGAAATTCATTTGTCTAGATGACAGCACAAGCAACAAAAGGAGGTTTGACATATCCAAATTTCTGATCTCAACTCCAATTATGGATACAATTTCAGTTACACGCCAAGTTAAAGTCAATGGGGTGTTGTTCAATATTAAGTTTAAAGAGGAAGAGTTCACCAACAGTTTTTTCTCTTTGAAACAAGATTTCATACCCTCATTTCACAGTGATTCAGAGGATCACGAATCATGGTCACTGGGTACTGATACGGATGCCATGAAGGAAGGGTTTGAAAAAACCCAAGAACCGGGTGAAGAGAGCAGCACAGAAGCAGGGGAAGAAGATGATGAGGTGGCGAGTGGAAGGGGAAAAAATAAAAAAAAAATTCTCAATCACAAGATAGCCAAAAAGAAGAGAAGTTAGATGAAGTAGGTGTTGACAGCCTAGTCAAAATTCAAAATTCAAAATTCAAAATTCAAAAGCAGGAGCAAAAAGTATAGGGAGGTTGGATGTGACATAGGAGCATGGGGAAGAGGCAAGGTTAACACAAACACGCAAAGAGGATGAGGTAAAGGTGGGCCTAAAAGAACAGTCCAGCAGAAGGTTAAGTGAAGAGCCCAACAAGCAAATGACCAGGAGGGTGTTTGAGGAAACAGCTAGCATGGGTTCAACCCAATCAGTGACAAGCCCAAACAGACCCAAAAAAAGAGAAAAATCTATAACACAAAAAACAGAGGAGGATGTTACCGAGGAAGAAGAAATAGATCCATTCTGGAAAGGATTCGAAAGTGAGGAAGGCTGACTGAACCACTGGATGTGCAAGCGGACAGAGCAGATCCGGAAGAGGAAGAAAAGGAAAAGTCATTCTTGCAGATCATTGTACTCCAACGCTGCAAATGCTGTTGTAGAAAGCCAGAGAAGGAACTCCCAAGGAAGGAAACAAACTCAAGGAAAGGAAGGAAAGGAAGGAAACAAAATATTTGGATTTTGGGAAGATATACGAGTTGAGAAAAAGGGAGTTTTAAATTATGGTTGAATTTCGTGTGAAGCTCATTAGTTAGTAAATTTGTGAGGTTGTGCTAATAATTCTAGTAAGGTTTGAATGTATTTATTTGGAATATTAGGTGTTGTTATGGCTTAGAGCACTTGGATTGAGTCTTCGGTTTTATGCGAGTGAGGTAAGTAAATTATGGTAATGCCTTCCGATTTTAAAGCACATTTTAGCTTGTTTTTGAAGTGGTGGCGAGACTAAACCCATTTTACACAAGCATGATCGATTTGAAATGAAATTATTATTCTTTTTATTGATTTGAGCATGCCTTCTTGGAGTTTACTTAACTACCCCGATGATCTGGAAATGATTTATGAATTATGATTTTCCTATTAACTTTTGCCTGTTTTGTCTCTAATATGGTCATGTTATTCGTGTGCCCGCTAGTGGGAGGTTTATAAACACTAACACATGTCGACATGTTACTGATAGAACTGGTTCGTTTCTATTATACTGTTATCCTGCTAGTGGGATTATACACTAGTAAATCGTGTGTTTGCCAGTGGAAGGTTTATAACACTGGTCATAACCTATATAGGAGACGTCTATTTCATTCCCATACTGTATCCGTTTTTCATGATTATACTTGTTGGCATGCTATAAGTTTAATTAAAGGCTATCCATATTTACTTACTGAGTTATCTCACAGTTTTTCCTTGTCCACCATTTTAGGAAGCGAAGTCAATGATGGGGAAAAACAAGGGGAGTGACAAGTTAGAAGGTTAGCCATCTTGTAAATTGAGCATAGATTTTAGATATAAATCATGATCTTGTAAGTTAGACTTTTATTTGGAGATTTATGATATCAAGGCAAATTTTATAATTTTATCTTCAGATTTTGGTGATATCAGATTGTGGTATGATTAGTTCCAAGTTTTGTGCATTTGTGGGACCCTCTCACAAGTGTACGGCGTCTACCACGTTCTCATATTTGGGTTCTGGGGCGTGACAACACCAGAATCCATCTCTATGAATAGCTGAACGGATAGCTTCTTCTTCCTTCTTCTCACTTTCCTCATGGTTTTTCACAACTCCCCTCTCTTCTTCCTCCCTCTTCCTCGATTTCTATCTAATCTGAAAACATAAACCAGATTAATTGCAAATTCAACAACACAGTCCTCAACGACTTTAAGGTGATTCTCCGATTCTCTTCTTGATCAAACCAACCATCCACTCCAGTTTCGTGCTTTGACTTGTTGTCTTTTTAGGTTGCATGAAAGTAATGAAAAATGCTGATGATAATTAAATAAGATTGTGTTATAGTTATATGCAATTAATCAATAATTGATTATAATTTTTTTTTAAAGTAATTGATGATAATTATCTCAATTAATTTCATTGGTAAATGTTACTATGAGTAATTCTAAAATGAATTAAAATAAAATTTTATTAAGTTTAATTGTAACATAAGGGCATTTTTGTCTATATATACAAATAAATTTTTATGTCTAATCCCGCTTCAATCCAATGATCAACCAAACATTTCATTGGATTTAGCACAAAACATCTTATCTAATCTAGTCCAATCTTATCCTTTAAATTACATTCAATCCCATCAAATCTTGTATTCCAAACTTGCTCTAAGGGTATGGTTAGAGTACAAATAAAGATATATAAATGTATTTTTTATAATTAATTTACACAAACATATAAAAATTAATTTTTATTTTAACATTATTGTCATTTAAATCATTTTAATTAACAAATTAGTTAAATAAAAATTAATACTCACATTTTTGTATAAATTAATGATATAAAATATAATAAATACACTTTTAACATCTAACTTTAAAAAAATTGGAAACAAATAAAAAATTCTATAATTATAATATCACATGATATTATAAATTTATAACATAATATATTGTTATATATTGTAAATAATTATAGACAATTGGTGTTGGTTATGCTAACTAAACCTTTGATGCATGTAAGGGTGTGAGTACCCCTTGTGCTCATTTAATAAATTGGTTTCTTGATTTAAAAAAAATAATAATAATATATCATTATACAATTAGCTTTTTTTCATTTAAATCTTCACTCATAATATTGTATAAATCATCTCGTTTAATGTCATGTCATATTCATTTAATATCATGTTATGATTGTAAATTTACAATTTTATTTGCATTATAACAATAGTATTGTTAGAAAATAAATAAATAAATTTGCATCTCAAACGTACATGACAGATCTAATGTTACTCAATTCTTTTTTTCTTTTTTTTTTAGAGTTTAGTAAAATGCCAATTTTGGTCCATCAACTTTAGGGTTATGCCTAGTTTTTGTCTTTTAATTATGAAAAATATATTTTTTTAGTCCTTTTTTAGTTAATCTACTAAGTTTGTCCATATATGCTTACTTTTAGTCCTTGAAATTTTAAGTTGAAGAATGAAAACTGTGCATTTATTATAAGTTGAGAGACTAAAAATATGCATGTATAGATAGATTTAATGAATTAACTAATGGAATAATTAAAAAAATACCTTTTTCATAATTGAGGGATCAAACAAGTGTATAAAAAATGTTAAAGAATTAAAATTATGTAAAATTCCAAAGTTAAAGGACTAAAATTGACATTAAACCTTTCCTTCATCACCTTTGAACCAAATCTAATTATAATTTAATTAATTAACGGTGATAGTGTATGATTGATATCATAATCCGAACATGGAAAGCACGTGTTTAAGGTGTTGAATTGTTTAAATTTCAAAAGTTGCCTTCCCTATTAATTAAATGTTATTGTATAAATTAAAATTAAAATTAAATTTTTATAGTTCTAATTTTTTTTAAAATAGTTTTTTTTTTTTTAATATATGATGTATCATGTTAATAGGAGAAATACACCTTTAAAATTATCAAAAAGAGATTGGTCTTAAAGTTGCTTGAAAGCTATCCAAAAACACACTAATAATAACTTTAAAAGATAAAAAATTATTGATATTTCTCATTAGAGTTTGCAATTTGCAAAAATTATATATTTTATAAGTATTTAATGAAAATCAACCACTCTAATTTAAGATCTAATTTTAGAAGATCCACATCTCATCAATGAGTCAAGATCTGTATTCCTATCGTTCAAGTTCGGCATAAAAGGAATGATGATACTCAACTGGCTCCACTCTACCCTGCGCGACAATATGGCAAAGAAACAATATTTGCAATCACTTTCTCTTTCTCATTATTAGTATTCAAAATTAAAACGTGGTTTACGTTGGTATTCCAATATTTACTTGCAACTTTTTTTTTTTTTTTTAACATGGAGGAACTTTAGGAAATGGAAGATTTTTTTTTTTTTGAAGTTATTAATGAAAATTAAAATTTTAATTAATTAAATCTAAATATTAAAATTTAAAAATAAATTATTAAATCGGAATAGCAACTTTAATATTTACTCGCAACTTGGCATCATACGGCCATGCAAATTGCTAGCTGTTGATGAGACAGGTCAAAACTAGTAAAAGGGGCGGTGGCCCTTTCGTACCGCATAAGCGGGGAGGAATACTATTACTAGGAGTCATTTCAAGACGAGGGCAGCCGCCCTAAACTTTTTTTTATTATTATTAAATTTTTAATATTCAAAAAGTATATTAACTCTTAATTAATTTAAAATAAAATTATGTCAAATTTCATTAAAAAAAAACTCTTCTAATATTTATTTTTTTATTTATAAAATTTAAATTTAAAATTTTATTTACAAAAAAATTAAATTCTTTTAGCTAGAACCAATAAACCCTTAGTAGCCGCCCTAAACTTTTCAAATCATGGTTTTATTAATAAGAGTGGTTGATTTGGTTAGGGCTAGTGGATGACGGTTTAGTTTGATTATTGAACTAAAATATTTTTGGTTATTATATACTTTTTGGTAAGTATTTATATAACTGAATTTGAACAGAATATAAATTTAGAATTTTGGCTTGATTGATTAAATTTTTATTTTTGTTTAACTTGAATTTAACTGAAATGTCAGAATTTCATAAAAATTGCAAATTAAATTTTTTTTTTTGTATTAAAAACTTTGTTTGGTTTGGTTTGGCTTTTTGGTTAAATTGAAGATTTGTATTAATTCTATTAAATTAGTGGCTCTTTTCATTTTTATGATTGTAGGGTCAAAATCATAACCGAACTTAATTTTGGTTTGGTTAAACTCAATTAAAAATTAAATTAATCATTTAATCGTTTAACCAAACCAATTTTTTTCAATCCAGCTAAAAATTTTGGTTATTTCCCCGACAAACGCCAGCCCTAGACTTGGCTAGTTCATGATTTGGAGGTTCTTTTTCATTAATCGGATTAGGTGAGTTTGAATTGGATCATCTCAGATTTTGAGTTTTTTAGATTGAGTTATTCTGGATGTCAAATTAAAGGAGCAGGCTCATGACCCACCCTCACATATTTCGGATTGAGTTAGCTAAACTCAACTTCTAAAAAATTAAAATTAAAATTAAAAATTTTCTATGTTTTTCTCTATTTTTTTAATCAAAGTCTAGTATTAATTAACTATTTAATTAAAAAATTTTATTAAACGCTACTTTTCATTTAATGATTCGATTTTTATTCCAATCTCAAGAAAAGAAAAGGGAAAGACTACTAATTATATAGGTGGAACTAAATTATATGTCAAATATATAATGTCTATATATAATATTTAGAATTCATATTTTCGTAAAGGTATTAACCTTTATTAGAAGAAGAGACATAAAGGATCAGAGTTCAAAAGACAAATCTAATATATATATATATATATTAATATCTAGTGCTTATTCAATATTTATAAGGATATTATACAAAAAATATAGT